TCCAGTTTTCTTTTAAAAGTTCTATAGCAAATAAGTTTTTTTGGCTCCCTAGTTTTGTGTTTTTGTGTTTCTTTTCACACCTTTTACGACGTGCGGTGGATGAAATTCGATTTTAAAATCATTTTATGGTCCCTTTAAGGTCTGTAAAGGGTGGCACAAGCGACACTCGTTATTAGCAGGTACGAAGGTGACGGCAAGCAAGGTGCAGCATCTAACCAAAATGCAGAGTATCCCATGGAAAAAAACTGGATGGCTTCCGATAAACTGGCAGCTGAAAGTGACCCCCAATTGGCTGCCACCATGTTGGACATTTATGACCACTAGACACGTGACCATATAGTTTTACGTCTCAGGAGTGGAACTCATGAAATGTACTTGGGAGCAGCCACGGGAGCAGCTGAAACAGCTGTTTTGGAGCAGGTCGGGAGCAGCTAAAGCTACATTCTGGAGCAGGCTAGAAGCAGCTTAGATCAGTTTTCAGTACACTTCAGCTTGTGTCTTAGACAAGCATGGGAGCAATCTCAATTGTGCTTAGCAGCACAGATGAACATGAGTGGTTCGGGACCTAGGTAGGTGGGATAACAGTGTAACAGATGCAAAAACTTGAAACTTTGTGAGCCTTAATGAGAACCAAAAAGTACCATATGTTTCTGAAGATAGTGTCCTTAATATTTTCTGAGCGGCTTTCACCTGCTCAAAATGCAAACCAGCACTGCTCATCGCACAACCCACATCTACGTGCCAACAGGCAAGAATAAATTGACTTTCACCTGAGATAGAAGTCCATTTATTCTTGTGTAGATGTTCTTGACCTTGGGGAGTTACCCAGGTCATTAACATCTAACAATCCCAAGTAGACGTAACATAACAGAGGAGATGTAACACCACGCACAGATATAACATCACAGACGGATCTAACATCGGTGACAGGTGTAACACGGCAGATAAGATGCAATGTCACGGATAGATGTAACGTCTCAGACGAATGCACAGTCGTGGCTGAGGATGTAATGTCGCGAACAAATGTAACATCACAACTGGAGCACACATCCTTTTTTCACTAATGGCGAATTCCAGTGGGCTTTTTGGAGCGCGCCGGGATCAGTTGACTAGATCCAGAATGGAACACATGATCCCAAACGGGGTCGCGCTGCCTACGGATCATCAGTGGAACATGACCACTGTTCCGGGATCGGCTGATGCCTTCCCGTCATTCAACTGCCTGGGAATCCCCTTTCCGCGGCCGCCGCAGTCGTTTCTAAGACATTTTCGCAATCGCGGCGCTAACATGTGTTCGACGCACGAGCAGCAGGAATGGCTCAGGAGCTTCTAGCAAAGATTGCCGGAATGCCCGTAGCATGGCAAAACCTTCTCTTCTCCTTCCTGGAAAACGAACCGGCTGTCGAGCCAAGGGGTAAGCAAGCAGCCATTATAAATTCTTCTGAGGCGAGATGGGCGAGATCAGGCAAGATGCCCCGCGAGAAAGGAATTCACGTGTGTGCGCCGAGGGCTGGCCCGGCTGGCTTCCGGTTGAATCCGCCAAAATCGTCAGAGTGACTTTTCTCGGATCCAGACCGAGATCTGGAGTGGGAGCTAATCCAAAACGACCAGTGGAATTCGCCATAAATTTCACGATGGAGATTACCACTTCCCATGGTGTGCCCAAGCAGCACGGATTTTGGCCGAGCAATGGCCAGTGTCTGGCGATGGTCTTTTGGCCAGTGGCCAGAGAGTGGCCATTCATTGGCCAATGCTAGATTGCCAGTGGCCAATGGCCAGTCTCTGGCCACGGTCTGGCCACTTGGCCAAGGACCATTGCCAGCCGTTGGCCAATGATTGGCCAACTCTGTGCTGCTTGGGTGGTGTCACATGACATCTGCGCTGCATAATATCGAAAGAGGGTCACATAGTCCAAACCCTGCTTCATGGCAATACCTGCCATTATTTTTAGACATGGTTATGTCTGGAAATAATGATGGTTATTATTATTATTACACTTCAGTCGCAACTAATAGTGTTTTCTATGGCTGGAGAAGTACTTTCTCCCAGAAGGGAGCACCTTCTACCAGCCCACTTGAGACAGTTGTTTTTTCTGCACGACAACTTGGATGTTTTTGACTACAACCAGGTTTGTTGTGTTTATATAGTATGCTAGTGGTACCATTTTATACTCGACAACACGGGTCTGGTGTTCGAACATGCGAAAATAAAGATGCTGTTGCAAACAAATGCATCGGCCTTTGACTATTTGATCCAATATTCAAAGCTGACTATTCATATCCAAAAAATGTATTATTCGCACTCCCTACGTTTAAGGCCTGTTAGCGCGGACAGCACAACTCTAATCCAGTGCTAATTTAGTAGAGACATTAAAGTTGATGTAGCACTTGCTAATGCAATGCTCATTTGGCTACTGGAAAGATGTGAGTAGATAACAGTGGCACCGTTCACGTTACATATGTGGGACGTTTCAAGAATGTTTTACAGTGCTTATGGTTCTTCCTGCTTGAGATAAACGCATTCAATAGTGCACGCAAAAGAAACCGCTGAAGCATTGTGCTTGCCCCAATATTGTAAATTTTGTCTTTCTTGGAACGAAGCCATCTATCTCACTTGGTGTCTTCATTGGAACGAAGCCATCTCACTTTTTTACTGGTTTTTAATTTGCACCGACCTGAGCGCACTGAACGTAGTTATTTCATGGAACTTTTCTTTTCTCGAATTTTGCTTTTTTTTTAAAGTTATAGGCAAATTAAAATTACAAAAACAAGCAAAAAATAACCTCCTTCATAACGTGTTTGGCCGCTTGAGTGGCCGTGAATTATAGTAAGCTCAGCGAGCGCTTACGGCTGCCGCACTTTGTGTCGACGGCTCGAGAGGGCGCCACTAAACCTATGTTCTAAATTGGCTGCACGAACTGGGCAGCCAAGGTGGCTCGCATTGCATTTTCTGCGCGATTAAACACTAATTCGGCATGACACTTCTTGGCCACAAACAACAGCAAACACGGGGTAAAGATCAGTTTTGAACAGGAGCCACTTCGCACTGCCATACCGCCAAACGGCGAAACAGCAAGCCAAACCTGCGCTGAAGGCCTTCGGCACGCTCGAAACCAGTCGGATCCTCGAGCCGTATATGACCGCAGCGCCACCGCATACATCCGGGACCTTTCTACGCCCGCCGCTCGTCGGTGCGCGATACCGCTGCCCCTTTCTAGTATGCGCCGCCTTTTCCATTGCTTGGTGGCGGGTATATTGGCGGGTCATTTCTTATTTCCGTACTTTCTAAACTGCATTTGTTTCTTCCCTGATCTAAAATAGTGAACAAAAACTGCTTTTATAAATAAATGAAATGGTTCGCGCCACTTATATTTTGTATTTCGACTAAAAAGAAGCTTTTGGCGACTTTTACCAGTAGTAAGCCTACGACCAAAGACCTCACATTTCGCACACTTTGGGCATCGTGGGTAGGTGGAGGAGGCTTCCGTGTCGTCCGGTTAAAATATGACGCACTGATAATTAGTTACTCCCTCCGTGCCCGCTGGCTTGCCCGAACCCCAAGAGACGTAGAAACCGCAAAAAAGGTAGACGCTTAAATTTGATTGCAGGGCCCCTTGCAAGTTCTCATACTTTCAGTAAATATCGCTTAGGATTATTTTTTAACATTCATAACCTATGAAATATGCGTAGGTTTTTTGTTTTTTTTCTTTCTGGAATGGCAGTTGCATAAAGCAATTGGAGGGAAAGCAGCATCGTTCACCCCTTCAACTTGCAGCCAGAACGATCGGCCACGCGATCTGGAGCTGACTATAGGCCACCAGTGCATCATGGCCACACACTGGGGTTGGGAAAGCACAGAGCGCTTGCCGAGTTTCACAGCGGCTATTTTTAACGTTGCAGCAGTTGGACCTGAGCCACTGCCCAAATGCACGTTGGGGCGTTCCTTGTGACAAGCCCGAACCGAACGCTCTGGCAGCGCTCGTGTCCGCCGCAAGCGTCGCATTTAATTATCATTGCCGCGGGGTCGTGAAGCTGGACGAAGAAATTCTGGCAATCGCATTCAAGGCGAACATTGTGATCTCCGCAACTTGGTCATCAAGTTTTGCAAAGGAAAGACTGAAAGAAAAGCGTCCGCTTAGAAAAGCGTCCGCTTCTGATGTCGAAATTATTCGGCCGCAAGGAAGCTCCTTGGTCCGTGGCATTGCGTGCGAGTATATACTAATATCCCACTTGCACCAGTACACCAATGTAAAGCGAGAGACATTTCTGTCCAATATCGTTGGATGTCCCCTTAAAGCATTGTTTAAGAAGGTCCGAGCCACCTATTCATTTGTAAGAAGATTCGCCGCATGCATTTATCTTTACAAGGTCCGTAGGTTTTTGAAGTGCTTTATTTGATCGATGCCAAGACCGAGAGGTTCTTCGGCAGCCATTCGAAAGAGGTAGGCATTCCTCGAGACTCACAAGTTGAGAATCTCTGTACTCACAGACAGGGATGAGAACGGCCAGGAGTAACCTTCGGATGCTCGGCCCCCCTGCATACATCTTGTTGCCTTCCACCATACTTTGCGTTCCACCGTGCACGTTTGAGGCTCACGCGACGCCAACATGTTATCAAGGACAGGAAGCTTACGTCACAGGTGGGACATCCGAGACTACTCCCTGCTGCTCTCATCCTGTTGGGGGTTACAGTGAACAGAATGCCAACTATTTGCACACATGCTATCTAGTGTGAATGATATTCAAACAACGGAACGTACAGCCTTCGATGCACGCTGTGCTACCTGGAGGCAACTAGGAAGTGATAAAGCTACGGGGTGGACAAGGGGCTGCGAGGGTACACGCTTACTTAACGTGCACACCCTCAAAGTACCTCTCTTCACCCCATAGTTTTATCACTTCCTAGAGGCCACGCACTCTGCTGTTCCCATTTCGTTCGTACCAATTGCCACACAACTGTGGAGCTGCGATGACATCCTTCGCTCTTTGCACGTTCGGCAGGTGATAGACGAGATCTTCCGGGTGCTGCGGCTGGTGCAGAAGGGGGGCACCCCCCCGAGGGCCCACGAGATCCTGCAGGAGCTGCGGGACATCTCGTCCATGGCCATGGAGCACTTCGACGAGCGCATCGCCCCCGAACTCAAGCTGCATATGGCCCCCATGAAGCCCCCGCACCTGTCCTTCCTCGCCTCAGGGCAGGGGGCCCTGCACCAGTGCCCCTCAGGGGTCGAGGCGAGAACCGCCGAGCTCGGTGAGCAGGGACTCCAGAGGGGGGCGCACGAGTGCTTCGACGCTTACTCTCGCTTCCCTCCTTGAAGTGGCGGCAAACTCTCGAAGTCGCCTCAGTTTTCGAGTGCCTAGTAATACGACAGACGTGAACTTAGCGTGATGTTTATGTTGCGAGGCTTGTTCAATTTAAGAGAGATGCTAAGAGATGCTTCTATTTCAGGGTCAGCGACTCGAAATAGAAGTGCATTTTCTAACCGTTCTTAGCCCAAAGCATTTTTAAATGAAAATATTGGGGCGACGAATATTTTTTTCACGGGGGAGGGAGCTCATTTTGTGCATCCTGCCCAGGCACTTAATATAGTGTGTTTTTTTGGGGGGGAGGGGGGGAGCGTGGTTTCTATTCAAATGCCGGCGCTCAACAAACCCCTACCCCTTTCTGCGAGGATCAGCGAGCACCTCCTAGGCCTTGAAGCCACAGCGCCGGGTTTTCCACGTTGCCCGCCGAAGGCCAGGGCGGGGTGCAGATTCGACATAAGGGTTACGCCGTTGTTCAGCTGGTGCCCGTGTTCGGTCAGCGATTGAATGCGGAACCCGGCCAAACGCGGACTCGGCATTCGCGTCCAATCCGCGCCTCACCTCTGCTTCAGACGGGCGACGTGTAGAAACCTCGGATGGAAGCCAATCTGTAGGCTTTCCCAAGCAGACCTTACGCCGTAAAACGAGACGGAAAAATCGGCGCCCAAACGTAGAAAGCTAGAACTTTCACCGAATGTGCACCGAACGGGTCAGTTTTACTTTATGAAATGTCGAGGCGCGGTTCTCTTTCTGTCGAAAATAAGAGCAAAGAAAAAAAAGAAAAACCTGGCAAAAAAGATTGAGAGCGTTTGCAGACGACTGAGCCGGCGATGCTATTTGCCCTTGGCGCCATCTCCGAACAGGCGCTGCGAGTAGACTATGCAATGCGTTGCCTGCTCGTTGCATCGCTAACTCGGCCGTCTGTGAACTTACCCAACTTTGACTTTGGCAGGTTTTTTTGCTCCCATTTCTTTAAGGAAGGGAGCTAAGCTTTGAAATTTCACACGGTGAAACTGACCCGCTTTGTGCGCATTTGGTGAAAATTTTACATGTCCATGTCCAGGTGCCAACTTGTTCCGGCTCGTCTTACAGCCGAAGGTCTGCTTGGGACACCCTGTCTGTGCATCCGATTGTGCTATAGTCATTGATAAGGAGGGAAGACCGGCAGGGCAATGCCTCAGTTGTCCCGCCTCCAGCTTGAGTTTCCTACCTCTGAGCCAAAGCACGGCATTTGAAGGACACGGCCTGCCGTCCTTACTCTGCCTGTGACTATTCGCCTCGAGATGAACCGTGTCACCACCGTACGGCCGAAATTGAAAACATGCGAAAGCGGGTATACTGCCATGCGTCGTCTGCTATGGGCACACGATCAGAAGCATGGATCTCGACGACGCAAGCGCGATTCCGGCTGAGCTGGGCCCTTCTTATGAAAGGCTTGTTGTTTCTGTTGTCGTTTCTTACTAAAAGTTGTGTTGTGTATTTTCACACATGTGGAATTTCAGCAAAGCAATTAATATTAAGTCGTATGCTACCATGATTTTAGTGTTGTGGTTTGTGGAATCGCTGGCCCACATATTTCGGTTATCTCGTGCAATCCATAGCTTTAATAAAACATTGAATTTTAATTGGGTTAATTAAAAAATTAACCCGACTGATTGCCACCCTTTAATAAACTAATCAATTGTTAATTCATTAGTTGATTTGTCTACATTCATAATGCATGAAAAACATTGAAGCTAGGTTTTTTTTTACATATTTTTGCTATGCCTTAAATGGCATATTCCAGTCCAATTTTAAACTTTACGTTGTGTCGCCTTCAGAAACATGAACACAGGAAGCCTTTTAAAGTGAAGTAATTTTGAAGTTATTTTTTAAACAGTATAATCACCCTCAAGGACAATTACAGGCATTCTGAAGTGATCTGCTGTGCAGGCCTGTGTCCTAAAAAATTAAAAACGTCAAAATATTAAAGCAGGCATTTTTTTTTTCTTTTCCTTTTTCTGATTTTTTCAGCACAAAATTCCAATTAATTGGCAAAAAAAAATACAATTAGAGGATTATTTAAATATTCTGAAGGTTAATCAATGAACTTCCTAGCCCTGATTTGCATTAATTAGGTTAGGGCAAAGGGTTATCGGAAACTCTCGGGAGAGTTGCTAGCCCTCATCAGTAAAAGAGTGTCGTTATGGCCAATGCTTTCCCTGTCATTGCGTGGGTAGTTTGTTGGATTGGAGTTGCTACTATGTTTGAATAGAGGAATTTGCGGCCCTTTCTAAGAAAATTGAAGCGGGTGAACCCACCATTGAGAAGAGCATCTTGAAAATATGCACGCTGCTGCATTGCTGGTTTATTCCACTCGTGGCAGATATATTACAACAATTTGTTTCACTTGTTTCAGTTGTCCTGCCAACGAACAATTTGCAGATCGTAAATAGAAGAGTCACTCTCTCCTCATCGCAAAGTATTAGAATTGTTCAAAGTGCGAAACTTACCCACACCATGTCACTGGAAAGGGAAACATTGGCTGCAGCGTAGAAGTCATGAAGCTGCAGTAGCTTCTATGACTTTTTTAATCATAGAAGCTAGCAATATCTAGGTAATTTCTGACGCAACACCAATTTTTCTCAATGCGAAATATTTATATTACTGCAAAAGCTAAAAGGAACAAAAGAATTCCATAGAGCCTGCGATTCCACAACCCAGAGTACCAGCATTATGTAAATATCCGGGTTGGAATTCCTTGTTTTATTGGATGTCCACGTTGGTGAACCGATATCTCTTTTTAAATAAACAAATATTTGACATAAATAACACTGTTCACCCAAAAACAGGCATCCATCGTGGTGATCCATGCTTTTCTTCGTCTGCCTAAAGCAGACAAAGCATCTGCAGGAGCGATTATTTAAATTTAGACCGTACGCTGGTAACACGATTTAATCTTGACTGAGGCACCGAACAATACCGCACCATTTACTGCTAAAATTATTTTCCCACCGATACTATGTGACAAAATAAATGCAAAAATCTACACTGCCTCACGCGCGAACAGGGAGAACTTAGGGGTGGCCATACTTCAATCCCCGCTCTGATGATGATGATAGCGCGACAGTTGCACCACTTCTAGGTCGATCTCGAGGCCAGCAGGACTCTACACCGCCTCATGCATGAACGTATAAAGCCTATGGGGCGGCCATATTTCAATCTCCGCTTTGATGATGATGATGATAGCACGACAGTTGCGTCACCTCTAGGTCGATCTCGAGGCCAATAGTTAACTGTTCCAGTTTCGGGAAGGAGGGCTGGTGCTTTTACGATTAAAGCCATGCTTCCGTAAAAGCTGGAGTTTGAAGGGTGTAATAAATAAACAAATGAAGGAATCCATAACAGCTCTCCCTGCAATCTCTTGTGACGCAGTTTTCCACAGTTTTTCCGACTCTCTGGCTAGTTTTTTTTATCTCTTATCATCCGTGTTTTCTTACGGCCAACCTTGCGCCTCTTGCACCAGCGGTAACTTCAGCGAACAACCGTGTTTCCCGCATGTTCTGCAGCTTTCTAAGATTTACAGATTTTGTGTTTTCCGACGACGCTCGGCAAGTTTCTAACTATACCCATTTGTTTGTCTTCACTAGTTTAAAAGGTGACTAACAATTTTAGTCAATTAAACAGTTTATCGTGACAATTAGCCCCCTATATCACGTACCCCTGGCCGTGTGACCCGTCTGCAGAGACTGCATTAGTATAGCTCTCACGGCCTTTCTAAAAACGGCGTAAAGCCTTTGAAAGAAACAGAAAGCATGGATACGGTGCCGTAAGTAGGCGCTGGTGGGGCAGTTGGCAAAGCTGCCTGAGCACCAGACGGTTTGTCGCAGCAGCGGCCGCGTCCTCCCTGCTGGGCCGGGTGCAGAAGCCCTCGATACATGCCGGGGTCCGCTCCATCCTGAACGAGGAGATGAAGCAGCTGCGCACTTCCAACAGCCTCTTCAGGAAGACCGCCACCGAGTGCAAGGCCAAGGTGCGTTGGATGGATGGATACAAAATCGTATGGCAAATCGCTATGCAGTTGTGTTGGGCGCATGAAACATTCACCTCTGTCCGCAGAGTATGGGGAACGACGGGCTGCGGCCGGTCACGTGCCGAATTTCCCACTAAATTTAGCGGGTAAACTGAATTTGTGTGTTGTTGCGTGAGGTTAATTGGCCCACTAGACCTAGTGGGGAAGCTGAATTTGAGTATAGGCTATGTGACATCATGTTGCGTGACCATAGGCGTAGACTACGGGAAGGCATCGGGGCTCGTGCTCCCTGGTGAGATCCAGGGCGGGTTCTGCCCCCCCCCCCCCCCCCGGCCTGGGCTATGATCCTTACCAAGACGCTGTTTATGTGCCATGTAACGAGTTTCTAGTAGTGGCATGTAAACAAAATAATGCACACGTTGCCTTTATTGACGAAATACATGGGAAATAGAATCCCAGCGCGCTTTCGGGGCGGGGGGGTGCTTCTCCGCTTGCGCTGAAAAGCCCCCCCCCCCCCTTCCCAGAGAACTTCTCAGCCTCCCCCCCCCCCCTCGAGAAAATGGAAAGTCTATGCCGCTGCGCGTGACGTCAATTTTTTCGTTAAATTTAGCGGGGAAACTGAAATGGCGTTGAAGTTACCTGACATCAATTTTCTTGCTAAACCTAGAGGGGAAACTGAATTGGTTTACGGGTCACAAGGTCATGTGACGTCAGTTTTCCCACAAAAATATAGCCGGGAAACTCGATTGGTGTTAAGGTCACATGACGTCAATTTTTCTGCTAAATTTAGCGGGTAAACTGGAAGGATGTGTAGGACCCACGACGTCGATTTTCCCACTAAATCTAGGGGGGAGACTGAATCTGAGCATAGGCATGACATAAAGTCATGTAGTGTCATTTCTTCCGCTAAAATTAGTGGGGAAACTCAACTGGCGTTGAGGTCACACAATGTCAATTTTCCCTCTAAATCTTGCAAGGAAACTGCAGTCATGCGACGTCGCAGGCCGCAGCTTCATCAAATCCGGAGTAACTAGCCAAAGAATGTTTCACGTTAAGAATGGCCGTACCTTTTATTACGGACGATACCTTGCGCCAACTAGCCTAAGGTGTGTGCTTGTTGCACCTTAGGTTGCCAGGACGAGAATGCAGATCCACCATTTTCGAAGGAACCGGCACCTCCTGTCGAGAGACGGGTTCAAGGATTTCTTCGGACGAAACTAGAGTTTCAGAGTATCGACACTTCAGCCATCTTGGTGCTTGAAACCATGGTTACCAGTTATCTAAAGTTTTATTCAAGATCATTGGAACCGCTTTTCTGTCCTCCAGAAATGTCAGAACCGTCTGCAACAGAGCGAGACGATACCACCTGAGCTTTCCGATGCCGTGTCTAATGCACTGAAAGTTGCAATTTCTTATCGTAATCGTAAACTAGGCACCAAATGGCGGCGTGCATAAGAAACTCGGTGAATGGAGGGCAGGCGCCTCGAGCTTGGATTATTTAACAGCTCTAGACGAAACGACGAGTGCCGTTGGGAAGCGGAGATTGAACTTGGGGGTGCAAAAGATACACCACGACGGGCAGTTACGGGAGCTCTCTAAACCTCATTTCACCTTACAATGTATTGCAGCAGACACTGAACCACCAGGGCCAGTGCGTATGTTGGAGCATGTCACATGACCTTCTGGTTAGGGAGAGATGCGCATAGCGCAAAGTCATGCATCATGCTTGGAGCACCGGATCGGCCAAAGGGGAACTGTGGTCTTGGAGCTTTTCTCCTTATTTTATAACCAAGCCTAATTCAACTTCACAAGATTGTTCAGATTTTTGTCTTGATTTCAAATATCAGGTCACTTTCTCAGTCAGTAGATTAGTCCTCAAGATAATCAAAACTCGCCTATCTTTGTCTGTTAGAACAATACAGAAAAAACGCTCCGCAAAATATTCTGTTTAAGGTATGGCTAGATACTACAAAATGTAATAACTACAATTTTGGTTCAGTTCAGTACTCAATATGTGGCAGACAAATAATGAAACAAACTATCAATCAAAGAATTTCTTAGATCTACATAGAAGAATCTCCATTCAACATTGTATGCTTCACACATTTAGCTACATGTTGCACAAAAATGTAGGTTTCTATGTTCCCTGGATGCCGAGATATCGCTCCTGCAGATTTGCAGGGTCCACAATTTGTGTTTTGTGAAAGCGCCGATTTAGAGTCGGCTTCAGTGCAGATTCAACCCACACAATATTATAGACTGATTTATAGTTCACATTCATCCACAAAATTAGAAACCTGTTAAATTTAGAAGATGTAAAAACCCTTACTTTCTTAAGATTTGACGTTTTAGGGACTTTTGGGGGCCGAAGACCCATATTCCCCTTCTAGGTAACTGCAGTTCAGTGGAGCTAACAGGATCTAACTTCCTTGCTTGAGGAAAATATGTTAGCCCATGCTTGCTTGAGCACAGGCTCAAACATTTTCTTACCAAAACCAGCCAAACCTGCAGTTTCTGGAAATGGTGGATTGAGGCTCTCTTGTAGACCATTGTGTTGTGGGTTCTGTAACTTCCTATCAGAATAGATGTGAGTTACTCTGGCAGGTCGTGTCACGTGACAACACAGATAGAGCAATGCTGGACGAGAGAAGTTTTTTAACTCCAGGGTACAAAACCTCCTTACCCTGGAGTAAGATTGAGTAAATTTTGGAACACTGCCCAGGTTGCACTTGGGCGTTCTTGCCTCAGCTGTCCTTACCGCAAAGTGAAGTGTTCTTCCAGTTTAAGTGCTATTTTTAGAAGCTCCAAGGCACCCACTGATGTCTGTGTGCCAAACACACCCTGTAATGGGCATCGTCGTTTACATGGTCTGTAGGGTTCTATGCTACTTCATGCACCGGGAATGCGAGCGCGCCGAGCTCAGATTCAAACGATTAGTGGGTAGACTTAAAGTTAGCTGCCTTTGTCTCCACTACACCCGTCAAACGCATTAGAACGCGAATGCCAAATGCCTGACGCCTGTGTTCCAACGCGTTCGGCGAGTGCAGTGGAGACAAAGGCTGCTAGCTTTAGGTCTAACCCACTGGTCGTTCCAACCAGAGCTGTCGGCGTACTGACGTCCTTGCGCGCTCTTGTCTCCTTTTCTTTCTGACTTTCCTGGCGCATTGTATCAATGCCAAGACCAGGAGGGGTCAACTTTTGATAAAAGAAAAGATAGCAGCGAGGGAAGTGTTGCGCCATTTGCGCCAGATTGCACCATGAACGAAAGTCTACTACATCTTGCCGCAAAATGCCATTTTTGCCAAGAATTGCGCCACACCTACACCATGATGGGCTTAAGCAAAGCAAAAAGAATGAAACTATTTTATTATTGGTCGTGCCTAATATTTGGAGAAGTATGGGGAAAGGAAAGTGCTACGAAAATGTGTATTTGACAGCGTCTCTACTCACCGTATAGTTCATTCCATCTTAGGACAGAGCAGAGTCGAAGGCTCTAACACATACAACCATGAACATGCATATAAAAGCGCAAGTCACGGGACATATTCGCTGTTCTTGATTGGCTTAGTCCAGGAGTTCTCAAACTGGGTTCTGGAGAACACAAAGGTTCCACGAGCTGGTCTCATGGGTTCCGCAAACACCCCAATTGCAACCCCCCCCCCCCCCCCCCCCCCCCCCCCCCTTTGCCGCAGGCTGCGCGGCAGGACCATGCAAAGCGCCTTCATCTCACTTTGTACTGACATCGCGATTGATATGGTGGGAATAAATGGGAAGCAACACAAGCAAAATTGCCCACACTTGTGCGTCTGTTGCCTCTCGGTCAGCAAATATGGAGGGGAAGGGGGGGGGGGTTCCGCGGCAGTGCCTCTCGGTCGGCAAATATGGAGGGGAAGGGGGGGGGGGGGGGGGTTGGGTTCCGCTGCAGTTTTTGAGGCTTCCTGGGGTTCCGTGAGGCCAAAAAGTGTGAGAACCCCTGGCTTTGTTGATGAAAAATACATCCTGGAAGATGTATGAATGCCCTGATCTTGAGCTTTGACACTGTTTGGTTGGTCCCATTGGCAGGCTGCGCTCTGAATTAAGGTGAAACGAAGATTAGAGATTGCTCGTCAACCATGCTGGCCGGTTGGTGCACTGGCGAGTTCTGGTGTCGAAGACACGGGCTTTCTGCCTTTTTATTTACCACCGTCACGCCAACTAGGGACCTACGGTTTGAAACGAAATAGAAGATACTGTTTACATGTGTATAGTTACATACTAAACGAGCGACATTGTGTGCAGCTCACCGCCCAGGCCAAGAAGCTACGCGAGCAGTCCCAGCTGCTGGCAGAGCAGGGAAGCCGGCTTGCAGAGCAGGAGGGCAAGCTAAACGAAATGAACCGCAAGTTGCTCGAGCAGCACCGCGAGTTCTCTGACGTGCTTGAAGAAGTGAGCCGGCTCCGCGAGCAGGTGCTCGCATCTTGCGCAACTGCCGCTGGTGCAAAAGGAGGCGGGGAGGCGGCGCTGGCTGTCGTCGAAAACGCGCACGGACGCCCGCGCAGGAAGAGAGGTTATCCGGCCCTCGCCAAAGAGGCAACGGGTGGGGACGCGACACCGTACAAGAGTTTGGCCGGAGACAAGAGCAAGAGGGCGGCGCCAGACCATCCTGCCTCGGAGAAGAGGGCACGAAAATCACCCAGGACCCGTTCGAAAGTGAAACTCGAAGCGTCGGCGGGGTGCTTGCCACGCGTCTGGAAGTAAATCGAGGTCGGACCGAGGCTGTGGCGGTTTTTCGTACGAGTCATGCCTGCCTGTTGGGACTTCCGATGGCTGTACACCCAGTGGAGAGGATTGTGCATTGCTTTGATTTGTTTCTTAGTTGTGCGAGACGGCGCGTGACGAACGGGGCCGTCTGCAACGAAATGCCGAGCGAATTCGTCCCGGCCCTGGTAGGATGTGTGCTGAGGTGTTTCTTACGATGGCATTCAAATTCTGCTTAGGGGACGGCCTGGGTGGGCGATTTTTTTCTAGACTGCAAGCTGTTTGCTGCTGTGCCCTTGAAATTCTTCCTGGTGGTTTCCAAGCAACTGGGAACTAAGCAGTCCCTCATTGTGTAGGGACTGTCAGGACTGAGTTGCGTCTTTTCAGTTCCTGTTCTGTCGGGAACGAAGCGTTTCCTGATAGTACTGGTGCTAAGCAGTCGTTTGGGAAGTTCCAGGGGGAATGTTGGAGGTGCGGTAGTGAAGGGTACTTCTAAGCCGAGCCAGGTTGCCTTGGTGCATTATTGCAGACGGTCTCTCAGCTAGCATACGAAAGGCTTCTCGCCTAAAACGTAACGCCGTTCCGAGTTGGCGTGGCCTCTGCGTATCCTTCTATGACAGTTTAAATGAGGCCTTGGGCGCACTCAGGATTGCAAGTGTCTGAAGAGCACCGGGTGGGACATAAGCAGGGAGCAGAAGCCAATTCTAGGTATGGGTTTGCAACCTGAAAAGTGGCATCGGCTGCAGAACTAGAAATAGAAATGTGTGCCAGGGGATCCTCACCTGCCGGGTTTGTTGAGGCTGTCATGGATGGACGTCGGCCCTACTCCGGTATCTCCATTTGCTAACAAAAGTAATTTCAATGACATGTAGGTTTTGTGGGGGATGTGCCGTTTTGAAAAAGAATGGGTGTTTGTTTTGGAAGAGGGGGGAAAGCACGCTTGGTCGTTTAACAGTTGTGCTCGATGAATTTATCTCCAGACTCGCAAAAAACGGGGGTTTCCATATGTGTTTGTGTGGAGCTTTGTTTTTATGGGCAATTATTGCAAATGAAGCATTCAAAACTTCTCTGCAATTGGTGATTTTTTTAATTTTTTTTACACAATTACTTGAAAGTCCGTTTCTCTGGTCTACTAATGATTCATAACGAGGGTTTTTCTGCCGTCAGTTGTGTAGCTGTGTGTTTTAATGAGAATAAATATTTATCCCCGTAAACTCGTTTTTGGTGACGTACACAACCAAAAGCGTTGCTGTGGTTGGCGTTCCATCATTAGCCAAGAACTTTCTATTGGTTCTTTTCGTAGGATTTGTGCTGCCTCTATCGACAAAATGAAGGATAATGGTGGAACGTCAGCTTTGACGTGGAGTAACGTAAGTAACTAAAAACTACACGGTTACACATAGTTTCACTGTGCCCTCCAGTGTCGTGCTGTGCTACGCTGGTGACGATCGCGAAGGTGGGAGCAGTTTCGCCATTTGACCTAGAGCAGGGTGTAATCTATGTGGTGCACCAGTGCCGCCAAATACTCCGTCGCGCCGTAACTTGGCAAACGGCGAAGGCTGCGGTCCCTGTGAGCCGTGTTTGCGACCGTATCTCACAGATGGCGTCAATTGCCCTCGAGGATGGATGGATGGATGGATGGATGGATAATATTGGCTATGCCCGTTGTAATGGTCTGTAGCTTGCGCCACCTAGCCTAAAAAATGCTCTCCACTTAAACGCCCAATTCTCTCCTTCTACATCCCTGCAACTATCACCGGGCCGGGGGTAAGAACCAACCAGGGGCGGATCCAGAGGGGGGGGGGGGGGGGGGGGGGGGGAAGGAAGGAAGGAAGGAAGGAAGGAAGGAAGGGAGGGAGGGAGGGAGGGAGGGAGGCGACGGGGGGCGGCCGCCCCCCCCCCCCCCCCCCCTTTTTGGAGGGCAATTCGACATGGGTGGACCCCCGGGTGCACAAGAAAGAATGGCAGTATACAGGGGTTGTACGGCTGCGCCATTTTGCGCCAGACGCATTTGTCCGCGCCATCCTGCGCCATGTTGCAGAATCTGCGCCACAGCGAATACTTCGCGCCATTATGCTCCGAATTGCAAAACCTGCGCCAAAAAAAACCGTATAACACATACCCCCCCCCCCCCCAAAAAAAAAACAAAAAAAAAAACGAAGTGGTATGTGGATTATGTGAAAATGACTCCACATTGAAAGATGGTGTCTATGGGCCTCTTCTTTTCGTCATCGCTCGTTGTTTTTTTCTTTCTCCCCTCCGTCGCTCTCGCCTCCGCGCCGAGCGCCACTGGCCCAACCGGCCAGTGTTTTCGCGTGTATGTTGTTTTTGATGCGAAAGCACTAACTATCCCATGGAGCGAACCGGCGTTGTCACCTCTTGAAGCCGCGCAAAACGGCACCTAAATTCCCCTGTGCCATGCAGCTAAACCTGCATGGCACAGGGGAAAAAGTCTGTAGCAGCGAATTGATAGATAAACCCCCATTGGCTGCCGCGCGTCATAGTTTCAAGGAACGCCACCCCACAGAGAAGCCCTCTCCATGGCGCTGCGGGCCCCGCGCCGGTAAAAGGAACACGGTGGCGCCCGCCCGGCCGCCGCTGTCGTGTCAGGCGTTGCCGGGGAGAGAGAGAGGTGGGGGGCTGTGGACACTTTTGTTCCGCTTGGCGGCGAGGAGGGCGCGCTTGCGGCCGCCGCTCTCTTGTCAGGCGTTTCTGTTCCTTTCGGTGCTGTTGAGGAACATGGTGGCGCCTGAAGCATCTTTATCGTCGGCGGCCGCAACCTCGGCAGTAGCGAAACGTGGCCGTCCACGCCAGTACCCCCGCAGACGAATTAAGGGGGCGGAAGGACGACGTTCATGCTTTCGCATTCACAACTCATAGAAAGTGTTTAGATACGTCCTCGGATTTTTTTTTCTCTAGTTTTTGCTGCGCGCACGGGCACGTATAAACAATGGCACCGTCTGCGCCATTCGTCGTCGGCTGAGCCAGCCGCCGCTGCCGCCGAGTCGCAACGGCGGTGTCGCTCGCGTTCGTGCTTGGGCAGCCGGCAGAACGCCTGTGCCCATCTTGAAGATATGGAAGTGTCTCATATTACCAATGTCATATTAGATGCGCCATAATCACGCGTGGCGCATATTGGCCGATAAAGTGGCACTCGAATCTGGTAGAATCTTAAATCGTCTTGTCTGATTGTAATTTCCGTCCTGCAACACCCTACGTCAAAAACTGAAGAAAAAAAATAGTAGTGTTTACTGGATTATGCCGCACCGGAATCGCAGGAATCGATAGGAACAATCAAAGCCGTTTACGGGATCCGGCCCGATTGGAAGGCGGGCGCCTCTGATCGAGCGCAGATTAAAGTCGTAGCCGCCTGATTGACACTGAACAAGACCAAATCTGACATGGATCTGACATTTTCGTACGTGAAATGGCTTGACAGCAACGCTTAGTGGAAGTTCAGGCTTCTCCTGTCGGAGTGTTTCGTTGCGGAGAAGCGGCGTTGCGGGTGGGCGGTGGGTGGCAGGAGCGCAAACCGAGTGGCGACTGTAGTGAAGACGCATGGGTCCAGCCAAAGAACGTTTATTCGTAATTGGGAGGTCTTTTTATGGGCAGAGGGAGAGGGAAAAGATTGGCAAGAGAAAGAAAACAGAACAACAGCCCACCGGCTTGTGCGCTGCGTATTTGCCGAGTCATTCGCTTCCTTGCACTCCTCTATCCTTATAGACGAGTCGAGATGGCGGTCGCCGTGTTCGCGAAGATCTTCGTGGTGTACTGCCAGCTGCAGCGGGGGCGCCGCCTGACGCCGGCACTGGTTCCGACGGGGCGGATGTTGTGGTCACCGGGGGGCCAGGAGTCGCTTCTGCGGGCCCAGGCGCCGACACTGGTCCGGACGGGGCGGATGTTGGGGCCACCGGGGGGCCAGGAGTCGGCTCTGCAGGCTCAGGCGTCGTACTGGTAGTCCTGGCCGCTGGATCTCCGGAAGCACGGTAGTGGGGCCGTCCGGTTGGACTGGACCCTGGAGTCCCAGGGGGCGGCACGGAAGTCTCGGGTGCTTTGTCATCCGAATCACGGGAGCGGAGCTGGTCGGCGTGGCGCCGGTGGATGTTCGTACCATCTGGAGACTGCACTTCAACCAGGCGGGAACCACTGGTCGATTTCACAACTCCCGGACTCCACTTTTCACCCGGACTGTATTTCCGGAACCAGACAGACTGTCCCGGAAGGAAAAGGTTAGTTTCTGGCCGTGGAGACGGGTGATTCAGTGGAGGCAACATGGCATCCAAGCGTGAGCGTATATCGTAGCCCAGCAACCGCCGGGATGGAGAGTAACCGTCCTTCCCGGGCGTGCGGCGGTACTCGTGCAAAAACCGAGCTAGCCGGGTTGTCAAGCTACCCCTGCTCGACCTTTTAAGACCCTCCTTGACTGTGCGGACGGCCCGCTCCGCCAAACCATTGGATTGCGGAAAGTACGGCCGTGAACAAAGGTGCTTCATATTGTTTCGTTCGCAAAACAATCTGAACTCGGCACTTGTAAACTGCGGCCCGTTGTCAGATACAATGGTACGAGGAATACCAAACCGACTGAAAATGGACCTCAATGCTGACACTGTGGATTCGCCCGATGCTGACTTTAGCGGTACTACCTCAAGCCACTTGCTGTGGGAGTCTATTAGTACCAGTAACATGAACCCTTCCACCGGCCCGGCAAAGTCAACCTGTACCCGCGCCCATTTCTCGTTCGTCTCTGGCCACGGAACCGGCTCTCTTGCAGGTGGATTCGGGGCCAATTGCGCGCACTGTTGGCACTGCTGAACCATACGCTCTAAGTCTTGGTCAATCCCAGGATACCATATCATGGTTCGTGCTAACGATTTCATCGCCGAGGCTGCGCGGTGACTTTCGTGCAGAAGGTCAAGCACCAATTTTCGCGCTCCCGGTGGTATTACCACTCGACATCCCCAATACACCAAGCCATGAGCGAATGTGAGTTCGTTTTGCCCGTTCAGGAACGGCCTTAACGTTTCCGCTGCCACCTGGTGCTTGAGAGGCCAGCGACCATCCTGGATCCAGCTACGTACCTGCTTCAAGTCGACGTCCTCCGCCGAAAGCCGTTTCAGGAGAGCAGTTTATATGAAGTTCTCGTTGAGCTGCTCCGTCAGCAGGACGTACTCCAGCAGTTCCTCAGTAGACGAGCTACCGGTGCTAGTACGGGGTAACCGGCTTAGGGCGTCGGCATTTTGATTTTCAGACCAGATTGTACGTATAATCCCGCAGAAGCAGCGACTAACGCTGGATCCGGGCTGCGGCCATAGAAGGGATTGCTCGATCCGGGCGAAAAAGACCTACCAGCGGCTTGTGGTTGGTGATCAGCGTGAAATGGCGGCCAAGTAAATACTGACGAAATCGTGATACACCAAAAACAAGAGCTAAGGCTTCCTTCTCGAGGTGAGCGTAATTACGCTCGGCCACTGATAACGTGCGTGAACGGAACCCAATCGGGCGATAGTCGTTGCCAACCTTGATAGAAAGAACAGCCCCGATGCCGTAGGGTGACGCGTCGCATTCTAATCTCAAGGGTTTGCCAGGGGCGAAGTGAGCCAAAATATTCGCGTTTTTGAGAGCGGTCTTGCTATTTTCAAACGCCGTTTCGGTCATGCTGGACCATTTCCACGGTTGATTTTTTTTCAACAACTCGTACAATGGAGCTAGCAAAGTTGACATACTTGGCAGGAACTTGCTGTGATACGTGATCAGGCCAAGATAAGACCTTAATTCTGACACGTTACGTGGCCTGGGAGCTAGCATGATTGCTTCCAAATTTTCTTCTTTTGGGTGAAGCCCCGATGAGTCTATTTTATGGCCAAGGTAGTTTACCTCTTTTTGTCGAAACTTTCACTTCTCCTTGTTGAACCTGACTCCATAGTCCCGCAGACGTAGCAGCACCTGCCGGAGCGTCGAATCACCCTTCTTCTCAGCCACCAAGATGTCGTCCAGGTATACTGGAACTCCGGGCAGATCCCCCAAAATGGATTCGATCTTGCGCTGAAAGATGGCCGGTGCAGATGCAATTCCGAACGGTAGTCTATTGTAGCAGAACAGTCCCTTGTGCGTATTTATAACTGCTAGTTGTTTTGAAGCCTCATCAAGACAGAGCTGGTAGTAGGCGTTACTCAAGTCAAGAGTGCTGAAGAACTCCCCACCGCGAAGAGATGCG